TGGTGTAATCTGTTTGTTCGAATCTGTGAGGGAAAATATAGGGTCTGAGGGCTGATCTTTTTAGATCTGTAGTTTGTAAACCTTGTATTGATACTCTATTGCCGGTTTCTAGTGGATTAGAGTGTTAATCACTTCGGTGAAAGCTCAACGTGGTGACTTAGCCCTTTTGGGTGACCATCCGGGCCTTCGTGGGAAAAATCTTCGTGTTTCTTTTATATTTCTGTACTTTCTTTGAATTATTGGGACTGTTAATACCAACAAAGATATTGAGAAGTGATAGAGGTAGTGAATACTTTTCTAGTGAATTTAACTTATTTTGTGAACAACATGGTATAATTCACCAATATTCTGCACCTAGGATACTCGAACAAAATAGTTTGGCTAAAAGGAAAAATAGAACCTTAGTAGAAATGATTACTGCCATACTTATACATGCTAAGTTGTCGTTTAATTTATGGGACGAAGCTTTATTAAGTGCATATAGGATATTTGATAAGATTCTTTCTAAACATATAAAAGTTTTTCCTTATAAATTGTGGAAAGGAAGAAAATCAAACATTGGATACTTCAAAGTGTGGGGGTATCTTGTTTATTGCAAGAACACGAACCCTAGCAGGACCAAATTAGGTCAAAAAAGCATTAAATGTGTCTTCGTTGGATATGCTAATAATAGCAAATCTTATAGATTGCTAAACTTGGAGACCAATGTGATTATCGAATCAAGCGATGTAGAGTTCTTTGAAGATTCGTTATCTACGAATAATGAATTGAGGGAAAATCTTGAAAATATCCCTAACTAAAATGGAACACGTGATGAAATGTCTTCCAAAGATATTAATGAGTCTTGTGAACCACGAAGAAGTAAGAGAACTCGAGTTGAGAAGTCTTTAAGACCGGATGAAATTGATTATCAACTTATCTCCTTTTATTTAGTAGAAGGAAATGAGTTGAATGTTGTAAGAGAACAACTCATTTTGTTCTACAAGTGAAAACCGACCCTAAAACGTATAAAGAAGCTATGGCTTCTCGTGATATCATCTTTTGGAAAGATGCAATTAAAGATGAAATGGATTCGATAATATCTAGCAAAGCTTGGGAACTCGTCGATTTGCCTTTAGGATCCAAACCTATTGATGTAAACGGGTATTTAGGAAGAAATATAATGTTGATGGTTCTCTAAATACTTTCAATGTTAAATTAGTAGTTAAAGGATATCGACAAAAGGAAGAAATCGACTACTTTGAAACTTATGCACCGGTAGCTAGAATAACATCGATTATGATATTATTCGTATTGGTTTCGATATATGAGGAGGTCTATGAAGCAACCCAAAGGGTTCGTTCTACTTAAATGAACATAAGGTATGTAAGTAAAATCATTATATGATTTAAAGTAGGCACCTAAGAAATGGCATGAGAAGTTTGACTTAGCAATAATATCATTCGAATTTAAACATAATAGTATAGATAGATGTTTATATTCTAAAGTATGTGATGATTACGTGACATTTATATGCCTGTATGTTGACGACATGTTGATTATAAATAATCATATGGACGGTATAGAAGAAACAAAGAGATTTCTATCTCCCACATTTAAGATGAAAGATCTTGAACAGGTAGATACCATTTTGGGTACAAAAGTCACAAAGACTAGTGGGAGTTATCATCTAAGTCAATCACATTATATCGAGAATGTGATAAACAAGTTCAAATTCTTGAACGTAAAAGAATATAGTATCCCAATTGATCCAAATTCAAAACTCGTAAAGAATGATGAGAGGGCGATTGCTCAATTGAAATATGCTAATGCTATTGGAAGTCTTATGTATATAGTTCAATGCATAAGATCGGATATAGCAAATGCAGTTAGTAAACTTAGTAAATTTACTAGTAATCCAAGCAATAACCATTGGAGGACCACTGGAAGAGTTCTTGAAAGAAAACCAAGAACTTAAGTTTACAATATGCTAAATTCCCGATAGTATTGGAAGGATTTACTGATACTAGTTGGATATCTAGCACAGGTGAAAGTAAATCCACCTCAGGTTGATGTTCACTCTAGGGGGAGGTGCTGTTTCTTGAAAGTCAAAGAAATAAACATACATAACACACTCGATATGGACCGCATGGTACAAAATTTTTGGCCGTTGGAGGCCATTTTCAAACCATTTGCTGAAAAACTCTTAAGCATCTCATAAACACATGTATGGAATGAAAAGTTGGTTAAATGGCTAAAGAATGGGTCCAAGTATTACCCTGTGACCGCATGGTTATTTTGGCCGTGCGATACTTAGGCCAAAAGACCTCGGTTCGCTTGAACCATGCAACTGCATGGATTTGTACCATGCGCAAAATTTTTGGCCATTTTCGAACGTCATATGTTTGAATTTAGTGACCTTTCACTTGGTTTTTAGCACCATTTTACTCCCCTATTCGTGGCCTATATATAGTAGAACTGTATTCAAGCCTTAAGATAAGAAAAACACTTGAAATTCATTCCAATTCAACAATCAAAAGGTCAAATTCTTGTCTTCTTTCATAGTCATTTTCTTATCGCGTTCTTCAAAGTTTTGATATAAAATACTTTGTGCTTTATTATTTTCTACAAGAAGGCTTGTTATAATCCTTCAACCCATTTGTTGGAAAAACTCTTAAGCATCTCATAAACGCCGGAGAGGGGGCAAATAACGTTTGACGACAGCGATACCGCGTTCGAGCCTTCAAAATTGTTATTGACAACATTAGTGATTTCTTAACCTCGTTGCTGTAATTTTTCTTGATTTCGTTGTTTCTTCTCCATTCCCAATTATTTTTCCAACAGGCTCCACCTCTGCCTCGGAGCCGAGTAACACAGCTAGCATTGCGTCTTCATGGAACATAAACTGTTTGACTCTCTAAAAAGGTTCGGAAGGTAGAGAAACCTCTTATTTGTGCATAACAGGAGAAAATTATTCAACCTCTACATTTTATGTTACATTCCATATAAATGATCGCTAGTTAGCCTTACATTCCTAGAGGATAATGTCTTCTTGTAGTATATAACGAACCTCTTGTTACCAGTTATTGAGACAGATTCTGAGCCTAAAATCTCAAAAGCACAGAATTTTCTGCAATTTGAATGCAGGGAAATCCAACCATAAAATAAATTAGCAATTCTCTTAGTGATACAATTTCAATATGCGCTCTTATATTAGACATTATGATATATCCATAAACATCTGTCTACAAGGTCAGCCTGCAGACTCTGAAGCTAAACTTTGAAACACAATTTTTCAAATTATGTCGACAGAATGAGATTTTCAGCTATATTCGTCGAAAAGAAATGGAAGTAACAGCAAGAATCAATTACCCTAACTCTTCTTTTTGAACTTCCTTTGAGCTTTCAGATCCACTACGATCAAAGAGATATTATCTGTGCTTCCCCTCCGAAAAGCAAGCTTTGAGAGGTATTCTGCTGCATCCTGAGCCGCAGGGTCAACCTCTTCGCCTCTCTCTTTAGACAGGGCGGGACCATTCCTTTTGTGCCACAGTAGAATCCGCCTTCGAGCCAAATCACATGCCTCCTCATTTGTCATTACATCCCATAGACCGTCAGTAGCTAGAACAAGGCAATCGTCTTCTTTTGCTCGAGGAACAAACATGATTTCAGGATCTGCTATTACGTAGGGTCTCAAAAATCTATCCCCTGCAGATTAAAAACAAAATTTCAGAAAAATAAAAATTTACTTTAATAAAATTACAAAACAATGAGGATAACAAAGTAACCATAATACTTTCTGGCACAGCATGATAACTGTCAGCATTTTGGTTGAATATTACATTCTTGCAATTATCTGATATTCCACTGATTTTACATATCTCAGTTTATCAAAAATGCAATAGGATACAGGTGGATAATCTATCAATACTCTTATGATTCATTTACACAAGTACTTAGGCATAGGCCAAAATATGGATGATCACAAAATAAAGACTTAGAATTGGAATCTTCGTAATAAATCAGCATAAGTCGTTTGATGCTAAATTCTAAACCATTTGTGCATAGTTATTACTACTATAAGAAGTCTTGCTAGCCATCCATAATCCATTCTGTATACCATCTTTACTAACATACCATATTCTAGGAAATTCCTGCAGAGTTTTAGAAAACTAAGTCAGCAAAATCAATCTTTTCAAATACAGATATCAACATACCTATGGACCTTGATACTGCAAGCATTGCACAAACACGATAGCCCTCCCAATTAATGACCTTGCCTCCTGCAGCCTCAATCCTGAGGTATTCATCTTCTCTGTTTGGCTAAAAACAGAAGTAGCAAGACAAAGGAATTAAAGTTAGTTTTATACGTTGATTTTTAGTTTTTATTTTTTTTTAAAAAGAAGGAGATATTTTTTCCCTCATTTGACAACCTTTAATTTAATTTAATATAATTTTTGCTACAGATTCATTTTCAACCACACATTCGCACAAACACGTAAATCCATTAATTTTCTATCATTTTCAACTACACATTCTCTAAAAAATACTATTCAAAACTACGTTCTTAAATTTTTAGGGCCGCCAAATAGGGGCTTTATACGATGACGTACAATATTCTACAAGCACAATCCTATCCTTGTGTCATTGTATAATTTTTAGAATACCTCATCTAAAATCTTAAACTTTTAGGGAAGGACAAACTTATTTATCTAAATTATGTCTTCAACATGCCCCCTAATTTCGAGCTAGATCCATTTTTCTCATTAAATGCCTAATACATGCACAATCTTCATTAATGGATGATGACAAGACTTGAATTCACAGCCTTTGCCTTATATGATACCAGGTCCAATCACCTCATATAAAAGTTGAAGCTTTTAGATAGGAGACAACAAACTTATCTAACTTCATGTCCTGAAAATAATATGTATACAGAGAGCAATATTCTCTGAGTATAATCCTTACCTTATGACCTTGTCCCCCCCCAACCCCCCACGACCCCCCAAAAAAAAAAGGGGGGACGAAAACCAGTATTCTAATTTCTACATATATAATTCTTACCTTATGGTCTACAGACAATGGCATTGGTGCTTTTCCTCGACAAAGGACTGCCCTTGAATCACCACAATTCGCAACAATGATATGTGTTGGACAAACAATTGCAACCACGGCTGTAGATCCAACAGCCTCGGGAGCAACAGGTTCAACCATAGCACTTTCCCCATCTCCTCCATGGAATCCTCCAACCTCATCATCAACTTTACGGAAACAATTCAGAAAGATCTTCTTCCACTGTTCCTCCTGATTGCAATAATCATCAATTCCATTATGCCAATTTTCTTTTGCAATGTTGATCTCCTCAGCTAAAGCTAAATGAATACGTTTACGGCAATATTCAGCAACCTATGCATAGAAAGATACATATTACCTAGCTATTACAAAAACAAAAGGGATATGGAAACCTGTAGTGAAGAGATAAGTGAAATAGAACCAGGAAAAATTAGCAACAAACAATGAAGGAACATTGACCTGCCGGCCTCCATGTCCATCATATACTCCAAAGAAGTGGGCTTTTAAATCTTGATGCTTGACATTCATAACTGGTATATCAGTCAACAGTTGAGAAGGGATACTCAAAAACCAAGGTAAAGCTATGACAGTATCTTCCATCTCCAGCCTCCTTCCACGGACAGATGTGAATCCCCAAAGAGGAGGAAAATTCAATTTCGTCTTCACTTCCTCAGAAACCTTGGAAGCCGAAAATGTCCTTTTTGATGCATCAATGCCTAAAGCCTCACAATTTTCTTCAATAGAAACGAGATCACTGATTATCTCTGACTTCATATTCGACTCCCATGAAACAAGTTTCTTAATGCCATGAGCAATATCACCATTTTCATCTAAGGAAACAGCTGCTATTGTCTCAGAATCAGTTTCCAGAGCTGCACATTCCCGAATGCACAAGCTGCTAGTACCATTAGAGACATATTGAGAAGATATGGAATCCCGAAATTGGTCACTAGTGAGTGCCACCGGATCATCTTCCTTGCCTTCCTGGCTAATAGCATCACTAGCAATCAAGCAAGTTCCACCTTTCCTAGCCCTCGACAACGAATTGCCCTCACCTTCCTGAAATTCGTCGTAAATTGACTCTATATTGATACCAAGTCGACTCTGTGGAACACTCGAGCTAATACGTCTATTTTCGTGAGTAAGAGGAACCAAAGGCAGCTTAGTCATTGCTGGTTCTGGCAAGAAGCTTCTTGTGTTTGTTACTATCTTAGTCCCGGTGATTTAACACAGGTTGTTAATCATATCGCAAAACAAATTTCATCCACCATTACCATTTGACAGTTACATAAAGCTCTAGAAAAAAGTTAAATCCCCCTTCGACAGAGTTTCACTTCTCAATTAAATTGATTCAAATTCAACATAAAATTTCCAAGAAATCAGGAGAATAAAATAATAAAGACCCCAATGCTATAAACTAAAAGAGAAGTGAAACTTAAAAAGGGAGATCAGCTAAATGAGAGAATCTGAATCAAAACTTTCAAATAAAGGGAATCAATTTACAAGAGACTTCTACAAGGAAATTCTTAAGACATCAATTAGCATCTTCTTGATTTCTATTCTTAGATTCCTCTATATCCAGAAATCATCAAGCAATCTAATCATAACATAAAAACTTAATATCTTTTGATTCCAATTAGTAAAACTAAAACAAAGCAAACGAACCAGAAATATAAAACTCACAAGTCATTACAAAAGCCTAGAACTCAGAAATGTTTGTATCTTGTTCTCTCAAGTCAAGTTAAAAAGAAAAAATATCTTCATTTAAACTAGTCCTCTCTTGTTTTTTACACCTCCAAGTGTTAAAAATCTAACCTTTGATCAAATCAGTCAAAAGTTTCTCCACACAATATCTGCAACACCAATCATTTTTCAATCAGTCTGAGAGAAAAATGAATATACAAATGACTGGGTGCCCATAAAAAAACGACTCAATAATACAAGGAAGAAAGTTGCTTACTGATCTAAAACAATGCTTTATTGACACCTATACCTAAATGGATCTTTTCTTTTAAGACTCCGAAGAAAAATAAACAATTATGTGTCAACCAGAGAATGACACTCCCATCCCAGTTGTTAAGAAAGAAAGAAAGAAAAACTCAAAAAAGCATTTACATTAGAATTCTGACAAGTGGGTCCTACAGAAAATCATGTGTCGAAACAGGTGTCCCAAAATTATGCAATGAGAGTCTTGCTGAGTCGTCGCTTTCGGTGAGCTAAATGGTATTTTTGTAATATTTTCTTGTTCTGAATATTTGGCCTTTTGAAGATTGTGGATCCAGGGCTCGTATATTTGTGCCACGTTAAGGTGAAAGATCTTTTTCTTAATTGTAAAACTATACGGTGGGTGGGCAGATATGACGTTTGGTCATCTATTCAGAGTATGTATCTTATTTGTTTTTTGTTTTTTTGTTTTTTTTCCTTCGTATGCGTGAAAACGTCGTGAAACAACCAAGCCGAATTTAATATTTGTCTTGTCCTATAGTGTGAATTCAATGTTTTGTTGTTAGCAAATGACTTTTAGAAGATAGATATTGTGGGGAAAAAAAAAATTAGTTTTATTCATGACAAGTTAGCTTAAAAGTTTGAATTTATAATTGTTCTGCAAAATATTTTTTTCATTTTTATTTATATTCAATCGAGTGAGTTGATCAAATTTGGTCTCGAATCGAGTCGAAATGACATTTATGTCGTCCAACTTGCTTCATGTTTGAGTAATGTTTACAAATTATTTGTAGTGGCTCAATTCACTTTTGTTACATCGACACATTTTTTAAAATTCAGAAAAATACTACTCACCTATTCACTTATTATTATAATTTAACTCGTTTATGAACACTTTCTCATGTTGTCCCTATTTTCTGTCCCCCACCATTGAATTTTGATGTTACTATAATTTTGAAGTGTTGGGATGTCAAAAAATTGGCCCTCACCATTAAATTTTGATGCCACTATAGCTTTGAAGTGTTTTATTGGAACATGGTAATGTGTCAAAATTTGATTGCAACGATTGTCATGGGGACAGAGAGATGGAAACAATAGATTTGGATTCTTAAATCTTGGAGATTAGCTTGCTCTTAGGGCAATAGAATTAATTGTGAAAAAAAAATAAAAAATCAAAGATATATATAATTTTAACAACACTTTATTTGTTTAGTTTAATGGAACTTCATTACGCGAGACATTTGGCAGCTATAAATTGAGCTTCTTGCAATCTTTTAGGTAGTTTACATTACATAACAAATATTATTTACTCAATATTATTTTTCCTATTATTTACTCAATATATATATATTATTTTTATTTATTATTTTACTTTTACAATTTCATACAAACATCAATTTAAGCGTCAAATGTAAAACAAGGGAGTTCCTGCCCCTTTTGGCATGTAAATATTCTCGAAATTGTTCTGTTGATGGTTAGATTTTTCACTTCCCCTAGGATTCATGGTAGCTCGGAGAAAGCCCTTTTTTTAAGCTCCCATTGGAAACGTACTCGTGCAACTAACATCGTGAAAATAATCTTACTTTTTGTTGGATTTTTGATACCCAACAAATCCCGGGCTATGATGTTAACGTGGGTTAATATTATTTCATAGGTATAGGCCGATGAATGAAATAAGTCCAACAACCAAGTCCATGAGCTACACCCGGCCCAATTGTATTTCTTATGGATGGCTTGAATCTTGACTCATTTACCCCTTTAATGGCCCAACTTAAAGCCTGACCCTAGAGTATATATATGAATATAACCCTAACCTCTTTGATATGATGATTGTGTGATTTTGAGAGAAGAAACTAGTGAATCCCGGCTGCCCCCCCCCCCTTTTGTGTGAGAAAAACGTGTCCAGAAGTGTCCAAAACGCTTGTATAACGTGTGCAATTGGTAGTTCTTTCATAGTATACATTTGTGGTGTCTTCTCCTAGCCTTTGTGGCCATAAATCATCATCCTTTCTTGTCCTACGTGGGTAAGATTGTATAGCAACCAAGGTGAATCAATTGGTTGTGGTTTGGAGCCGTTTGGATTGATTGTTGGTAGAGAAAGGTACGTTGGACTGAGCCTGAAAAATCACCGTTTGAAGATCCTTTTAAGAGAGCTTCCGCGACACTTTTAAATAATTAGTTCAATGTATTGTAAATTGATATTCTTCCTTTTTGTTTACCAGTAGACAATTGTTTTGATGAAAATTGTTCAAAATCGAGTCCCTGAAGAAAAGCATAAGCTTGCAAACATGCTTTGGTAGAAGCGAGCCGGACTTCTGTCAAATTCAAAGGACTCGGATGAACCACGAAGGACAGCAAATCTTGGTACACCATAAAAATTACTATCATGTGTAATGAAACTATTTTGTTGCTTTGTATGAGTTGTATGTTGTATTTTATAATAATAGATGAGGCACTGTTTACTTCATCAAAAATTTGTAAAAGCAAATTCCCACTTCATCAACAGAAGGACTGCTTAGTTAGAAGTCTTTGTCCATTTATGTCATAATTGTACCCGAGTCATGCGTACTTTTTAGAAGTCATTTGTCTATTTGTAAAATTATTGTACTAGTCTGTATTATTACTTTGCTGCATCTGAAGGTTGAAGGAGCCTTCTCCTCTATATAAGGAGTCTCCTTCCTTCATTATAAGATCATCGAAAATCATAAATAAAATTTTGAGTTCCTTAAAATCATGAGTTTCTAACTTCCTCTATTTTCTCACTAACATCTAGAATTCTAGTATTAGTCTTTCACAAGTCATCCTAATCAACTAATCGAGCGGTTACATGAGTGTGCTCTGCTATTACATCTTTTGAGGATCCTTAGCATCAGAAATTGTGTTGCAGATCATAGCGATCGTTTAGGAAAATTTGCGATCCTAAGAGTCAGGCCCTATTTTTTGAGCTTTGGATTGGTTGTTTTGTGTGGGCAAGAATACCTAGGTCACAACTCTCCTTATTTGGTATTAAAGCCATGAATTGTAAATGGTTGATTTTCATGTTCTTGTTGAAGATAAAGTATTACAATGAAAGATTGTTAGTGAGAAAAGATTATTCATCAACTACTTTTAGCAACACACGTCGACTTTCATGAAGATGATTTATAATCTTCATTTTCAGAAAATCGATCGTCAAAAACAGTTTATGCTCTTGAATATTTTGATAAGACAATATTCTATATTCCAAATCAACATTTCCAGTTGACAGTAATGGCATTCTGTCTCAAAATGGCACCTTCTTTGTTTCGACCACTTCTTAAAACAACATTAATCTACATTGATGATATCATTCTATTCTCTAACAATGTGGATATTCATGAAGTACTCCTCCAAAGATTTACAAATATTGTCACTGAATATGGCGTCATGTTGTCCCAGAAAAAGATGATCATTGCGACACTAGAAATTGATTTTCTTGAAATGTCTATCAAAAATTAAAAATATTCCTTACAGCAGCATATTGATGGAGAATTTCGTAAATTCCCTTTTGAAAACTTAACAAAACAACAAGTGCAACAATTTCTTGGAGTGGTGAATTATATGACTAATTTTCTCAAACAATTGGCTCCCAAGATATGTTGGAAAAAAATCCTCCCCAATGGGCTTACAAGCAAACTCAAGCTATCAAAAAAAGTAAAACAAAAAATTCTTAATCTTTCCGCACTACAAATTCCACTAATGGAAAATGAATTTTACAAACAGACGCTAATTTTTACTGGGGTACATTACTCTTAGAAGAAAACAACGAAGAAAGAAGAATGTGTTGACGCAAAAGTGGAACATTCAAAGAAGCTGAAAAGTATTACCATTCTACATTCATGGAGATTCTTGCAAGTAAAAGACGAAGTGAAAATTTTCAATTTCATCTCATGGAACATAAGTTTCTAATCGAAGTGGATATGAAAGCATTTCCTCAAATGCTGAACTTCAAGAAGAAACAAGTTCCAAATCACAATTCATGAGATGAGCAGAACGGTTTGCAGATTTGACTTTGAAATCAAACACATAAAAGGAAAATCTAACATACTACCTGATCTACTATCCAAACACCACCTTCCATCCAAACACAAATTCCAACAATTTGTATGTTCAAACTCTTTTCTCAAAATTCACAAAATCCTCCAATCCAAAATTTCCCTCTGGAACTTCAAAATTTCATCAGAAATTGCCCAACCTATTATAGGTCAAAGGAAATCATGTTAAAATATCAATCCCTGGTTATCAAGCTATATGGCATTCAAATTTTTGGAGGACTTGGCTTTCACCTAGATTATCCATTTTTTAACCTCTTCTGTATAAACCCAAGTCGAATAAAAAAAAAAATTGCAAATCCATGATGAAAAAACTGGTTTTATGATCTTAGTTCACAACTTTGGAAGGATTTTCCGTAAATCTTTTCCAAACCAAACAATTAAGTAGTAAGATTCTCTGAATGGTTTTATTCACTTGATCATTGATGTCAAAAATTTAATGCTTTTTGTTTAAAATACAAAAATCTTAGGACTTCATTTAATAATGTTCAGGTAATCCTTATTTTTCAAAGACAATGGTATTTTACTGAATCGGGTTATTATGAACATTTTTCACATGTATAGGAATATTCAGTCCAACCATTTAACTTCGCGAAAAATGAAAAAATTATTCTCAAGAATTCAAAACATTTCAAAGAAAAATGGCAGAACTCAATGAGACAATCCCTCTAGAATTCTAGCCTAATATTGAAGATGATGCACCATGGAAAACACTATCAATGTCATATACTTAAAGAATTCAACAGGATATCCAAGCTCGTATGGACAGTCTAAGCCAAATTTACAATTATTATCCAGTCCGTCCACTTGATGATTATCATTTTGACAATTCTTGAAATCAGTTTTATCTTGGCAGGCCTACTCAAAGCTTAGGACAAATGGTTAAATATTCAGGAGACACTTCAAAGGTCAACAACTCAGAGAAAGACTCTACATTGGTAGAGACAACCAAAATTCACAAGAAAAGTATCCAAAGGCAAGGAAAAGATGTCACAAGGAGGATCAAGCTCAAGCCAACATAAATAAGAACCAAAATTTTCCCA